GGAGTTGGTCCTCTGCACAAAGTCCGAGGGAGCGTCCATTCTCGTGTCCAGGGGAAACTGTTCGTTGTGAATTGTTTCCAAAGTGACGTCCACCACAGTCAGACTTCGTTAGCCAAAGGGCAGTACAGCCACGGGTGAGTTGTTGTTTCCCAACCCCAATTACACAAATGGCAAGTTTCAGTGATATTCATGCCTCTAGAGACGAACCAGGAAGTAGAGGCTGCCACTAACAAGGACTGTTGCCACATACTAGCCTGCTTCTGTGAAGGGATTCTTTTGAGTGCCTTCCATAATTTGAAGAAGTTTAGCGACCTTACGCAGAAGCCCGGCTCCTTGGAGGCTCTTTCGGATGCCAGGGTGATAGTCTGTGTCTTCTTCAGGTTCTGTTGCATTCGTCGGCCCACTGCAGCTGTGTGGGCCCAGGCTGGTGTGAAGGTTCCTGGTCCCATCACCTCTTCCCAACCTGTCAGTAGAGGCTCGACTTGTAGAGAGTCTATATTTCTGCCATGCCAGCCAAGCCCTCACTTCCTGTATATCCGTGTCTGGCAAGGTCACCTTTTCTTGGCCCGGGCGTAGGTTGCCTAGGATATGATTTGACTGAACCAGGTCCCAAACCTGTACTCTTGTGCCCTGTGGTAGGTCCGGGCCGAGGATTTTGATGACTTTTCCAACATCATCCGGATCTTCCCAACAGGAGCCGGCGGGCAACTGCCCCTGGGTTTGCAGGGACCTAACCCAGTAGTCTGGTACTGCTTCCCTTAATCTCGTGTAATTTTTCCACTGACTGCACTCGATGAAGGGGTGCTCTGAGGGATTGTACCGGTCTCCAGTCTCCTGCCTCTAAATCCCACAACCCATGCCCTGTCAAAGGAGCCCCTTCTGCCATCTGCAAGAAAGGTTTTCCCATCATTCTTATTTTATAAACTTATATTGTCAAATAAGATTTGGTTCAAGATCTCTAGTTTAGTAGAGGGGGGGTTGTGGGAGGCAGGGAACACTTTGCGCCACGCAGATAGGATATTCTTCCAAAGTTTCAATTTTGGGCGTTTGTGCAAGAAGAAAGGAAAAAATAAACAAACCCATACATCTGCCAGTCTGGCTAAACACCATTCCTTGGCCAGCAGACATTCCGCTAGTCTAATCCACAACTTGTTTCTGTTACCAAAGACTGTGGAAATCACCCATTTCCCAAGGACACAACCCTCAGCAGGCCCAGCAGGCCACTGACGCGTTGACCCGGCTTGACACTAAGAAGAACAAGTCTGCACGTGAACTTACCTCTGTCGTGGAGCATCTCATTGTCGTCCCCGGCGTGCACTATGATCCTCAGGTCTTGATGACCACGTTCTTGAGATGTATTTCCACAAACGTCAAGAACCTGCTGGTCAGCGAGGCGAGCATCGAATATCATATTGTGGACTCCTTCAACAAGAAGGCCCTAGACTTAGAGGCTAGGCTAGGAGGAGCCCAACAACCCTCTACAGATGAAAGAAAGGTAGTCATTTGATGATGGTTGATTTCGAAGGGAATCAAACTGAGATCGATGATTATTCCGACTTAGTGGAAAGTATAGAGTTTGAAGACGAGGAAGCTTGGGCAGAAAGTTCTGATTTTGTGATGCTGCTAGTTTTCATAAATAGCGAGTTGCCACCCTCTTTATCTTTAATTTGTTGGCCAACAGACATTCCGCTAGTCTAATCCACAACTTGTTTTTGTTACCACAGACTGCGGAAATCACCCATTTCACAAGGAGGCAACCCTCAATAGGCCCAGCAGGCCATTGACGAGTTGACCCGGCTTGATACTAAGACGAACAAGACTTAGTCTGCGCGTGAACTTACCTCTGTCGTGGAGCGCCTCATTGTCGTCCCCGGTGTGCTCTTTGATCCACAGGTCTTGATGACCGCGTTCTTGAGATGTATTCCCACAAACGTTAAGAACTTGTTGGTCAGCGAATATCATATTGTGAACTCCTTCAACAAGAAGACCCCCAGACTTCGAGGTTAGGTTAGGAGGAGCCGAACAACCGTTTACGGATGGAAGAAAGAAGAAGACTCAACAAAAGTGGAAGAAGAAAGGTAGTCGATTGATGATGGTTGATTTCGAAGGGAATCAAACTGAGATCGATGATTAGTCCGACTTAGTAGACAGTACAGAGTTTGAGGACGAGGAACCTTGAGGAGAAAGTTATGATTTTCTTACGCTGCTATTTTCCATAAGAAGTGCGTTGCCACCATCGTTACCTTTGAGTAGGTTCATTCTCCCAAAAAATGGATTGACAATGGAAACCACAAAATGGAGAAGGTGGTCGTTGATAGAACAAGGGCTCTACCGTTGTGCGAGAGTTTCTGATTCTGCATCCATCCAGCAGTTCAGGCGGATATCTTATTCTCAAAAAAACATCATGTGCATCTGAAACATCAGAAAGCGAAACTTGTATTTCCAAAAGCGGTAAGATGAGCCCGGAGGTATCTGTCTCAATCCCCAATCCACACACAAAACCTTGGGTGGGGGTAGAAAGAAAACTGGTTTATCCCAGTTAATGGAAGTCTCCGAACGTTTGTAATAATTATTGAGGACCCTCCTTAATTCTTGAAATGTTCCTACTATGTTTTCACAAGCGATAGTCAGGTCATCTGCTTATGGTTCTCCCTTCCACTGTACTTGCCACTGTTCTATAAGGTATCTAGCACGACAAACCTATTCGGGGGTTTCCTAAACACGCACACATGTTCTCTTGTTTGCGAATACGTTCGCTTTGATATGTTCTCTCATACACCGACAAATATATTATTTTTTATTAAAATATTTTTTTAGTTTTTAATTTTAAATCGTGGTTGGCTAAAAATTTGAAGATGTCTCCCAAGCAAAAGTTGTTTAAATTCTTCTTTTACATAACATATATTTTTTGACAATTTTTTTACAGCTAACCTAAAAATGGATTATATTAATTTATAGTTCTATAGACTAGTTTTCACAGAGTTTGGGTTTTACCAAACTGCTGAAAACAACTTATAGTTCTATAAATGAGTATTCACTGAAACTGTTTTTTTTTAACATCTTTCGAGTTCGCCTTGCAGTCCTTAAAGATTGTATTGTTTGAGCTATGCTTTTCGCCAATCTATTGAGAACGACTTATAGTCTTATAAACTTATAACGTGTTGTTTGCTTGAAAATATTTTTTTGCACATTTTGAGAACCACTTGACTTTTTGGCTCTTTTTTTGCCTCCTTTCTCGGAGTTAAAAACGCTCTCTTTTATGTGTCAAAAATAACAGTTTGACTTTTAATTTTTCATTCTATAAAAAATGTTTGGTTTTGTGGTTTTGTTAGGTTCTCACGAATTCAGTGTTGTTGGCCGACCTATGAATTAGGGCAAAAAAAAAAAGAAAAAAGAATCAATCAATCAAATAATCATCAATCAAGTCGGGAGTGGTGGGTGGAGGCATCGGAATCAATCAATCAATCAACCAACCAATCGATCAATCAATCAATTGGTTCCTCTTCCTCTTGATTCAGATCACTCAAGATAGCTATGGCGCATGGCGCCCAACAATCCCTCCTGGCCAACAAAAAGAAGTAAGGGAAGAAGAAGACAGAGACAAAGAAGAAGACCAAGAAGAAGACCAAGAAGAAGACCAAGAAGAAGAAGAAGAAGACGAAGAAGAAAAAGAAGAAGAAAACGAAGAGGAAGAAGAAGAGGAAGAAGAAGAAGATAAAGAAGAAGAAGAAGAAGAAGAAGAA